TAAAGAGCTTCTATCTCAATGGGGCTTTTTATTTTTTAAAATTTTTAAGGTTAAATGCCTGGACCCGATTCCTTGTGTTTCGGCCAAGATGAAAGCTGATGTTGTCTGCCGATTGAGGCAGCTACCCAGACCCATGCAGTTAGGGTCAGGGGCAGAGTAGGGCTGGACAGACCAGGAATGGAACTGTGACCCTCTGGTTCATAGGCTGATGCTCAATGTCTGAGCCACACCGGCCAGGCTCTAAGTTCTTTTTTTTAAAGTGTAGAAACTTGCAACCCTTTTACATTTGAGTGGGGGAATTGGGACAGGCTCCCATAAACCTTGTGCAAAGTAGGAACTACCATTAGAAGGCTCAGGGTAGGTCGTTTTGATATGTGGGAGTCAATGTGGTGTTTACTTTCTAAACTTGGTCCTAGTTGATAAAAAGTGAAGCAAGGAGACCTGGCCAGGTGGCTCCGTTGTAACATCGTCCCGTAAGCCAAAAGGTGTTGGAGTTGATTGCTGGTTGGGGCACATACATGAGTTTTGGGTTCAATCCCCAGTCAGGCACATATGGGAGGCAACCAATCAATGTTTCTCCCTCCCTCCCTCCCTAAAAATCAATAAAACATCATGTGAGGAAATGAGGCACATTTGTGATGTTATCAAGGAGCCACTTAGCGTTGAGGTGTAGTTTGAAATGGGTAACTGGGTCTCTGTGTGTGGATGAAACCCAAGATCAGAGATGAATGTGTACTTCATATGTAACGTGGCGATAGAGCCTTAGCAATGGAAGGAATTGGTTACCTATGGAAAGTGGCGAATTGATTAGTTGGTAGTAAGAGAAATAAGAAACTTTTCCACTCCAGTTCCAAGGTGACATTTTAGTTCACACTTCCTTTAAAAAGGGAAACATCCAGCCCTAACCGGATTGGCTCAGCGGATAGAGCGTCGGCCTGTGGACTCAAGGGTCCCAGGTTCGATTCCGGTCAAGGGCATGTTCCTTGGTTGCGGGCACATCTCCAGTGGGGAGTGTGCAGGAGGCAGCTGATCGATGTTTCTCTCTCATCGATGTTTCTAACTCTCTATCCCTCTCCCTTCCTCTCTGTGAAAAATCAATAAAATATATTAAAAAAAGGGAAACATCCAAATTCCACATTGTGCGTATGTTCTTCATGTGATTAAGGTATGATCAACAATAATTATTTAATTTTAGAGATAGGGAGAAGCATCCATTTGTTGTCCCACATATTTATGCATTCATTGGTTGAATCTTGTTATGTGCTCTGACTGGGGATTGGACCCGCAACCTTGGTGTATGGGACAATGCTCCAATCAACAGAGCTACCCCGGCCAGGCGGCGAACTTACCTTCAGGGCCAGACAGCAAATGCAGGCTTTGTGACTAGTCTTCCTCCAACCACTCAGCTCTGCTGGTTGTAGACAATAACTAAATAAATGAGCATGGCTGTGTCCCAATAAAACTATTTATAAAAACAGGCAGCAGGCCAGACTTGGTTTGTTGACCACTATACCTGACAGAATAGGATATTACATAACGATAAATGGTATGGTTCATAAATAGAGCTTAAGTAACAGTCAAACATAAATTAAAAAGTAAAAATTTCTGGAAATTCATGATCTTGATAAAAAAAAAAGTTCAATTTTAGGGAATTCTGAAACAATATTTCAAATAATACAAGACCAGGGAAAATTTATCACTATAACTTACAGGCATAAATAAATAGAATCTTGACACACACACACACACACACACACACACACACACACACAGCCCTAGCCAGTTTGGCTCAGTGGACAGAGCGTAGAGCGTCAGCCTATGGACTGAAGGGTCTTGGGTTCCATTGCATCAAGGGCACATACCTTGGTCGGGGTGCATGCGGGAGGCAACCAATCAGTGAGTCTCTCTCACATCAATTTTATTGTATCTTTCCTCCTGCTTTCCACTCTCTCTAAAAAGCAATGGAGCCCTAACCGGTTTGGCTCAGTGGGTAGAGCGTCGGCCTGTGGACTGAAAGGTCCCAGGTTTGATTCCAGTCAAGGGCATGTACCTTGGTTGCGGGCACATCCCCAGTAGGTGGTGCGCAGGAGGCAGCTGATCCATGTTTCTAACTCTCTATCCCTCTCCCTTCCTCTTTGTAAAAAATCAATAAAATATATATATTTTTTTAAAAAAGCAATGGGAAAATATCCTTGGGTAAGGATTAACAATAAATGTGTGTGTATATGTGTGTGTGTGTGTGTTATGACATATACAGAAATCAACTCGTACTTAGCCATAAAGAAAAATGTCAAAATTTAAAGAGTAGGTATTGGCTTCTAGGCCACAGTTACCCATCAACTTTAGCAGAAAAAGGTTTCTCTTCCTCACAGAACAAGGCATCAAAGAAAGTTTCAGAAGTGGTCTCCTTGCTCAGTGTTGCCTGGGCTGTTGAGCCAGCTTCTCTGTTTTGTCTCTTGGTCCCAAGATGGCTGCAGTAGCTCCCGGCGTCATGTCTCAGAGGAAAATGTCTAAAAACAATATTTCAAATAATACAAGACCAGGGAAAATTTATCACTATAACTTACAGGCATAAATAAATAGAATCTTATGACACACACAGCCCTAGCCAGTTTGGCTCAGTGGACAGAGCGTAGAGCGTCAGCCTGTGGACGGAAGGGTCTTGGGTTCCATTGCATCAAGGGCACATACCTTGGTCGGGGTGCATGCGAGAGGCAACCAATCAGTGAGTCTCTCTCACATCAATTTTTTTGTATCTTTCCTCCTGCTTTCCCCTCTCTCTAAAAAGCAATGGAGCCCTAACCAGTTTGGCTCAGTGGATAGAGCGTCGGCCTGTGGACTGAAAGGTCCCAGGTTCGATTCCGGTCAAGGGCATGTACCTTGGTTGCGGGCACATCCCCAGTAGGGGG